CTGCAGCTCAGCCAGGGCAAATCCTGCCGGCAGCAGCTCCCCGGGACTGGAAAACTGGAGGGAGCCGGAGCTGTGGAGCGGGGCCTGTCCCGGAGCGCTTGTGTTTTGTGTTGGAGTGCAGGAAGCGACATGACAGCATCAATGTCCTGGAACAGCAGATGGGCAGGGATGGGGGGAAAAACAGTTACTTATGGGGAAAGTCAAGACATGGTCATTTTCTTCTCACTGTTATAGAATTGCGTATGTGTCTTGTGCATAACTTGAGTCAAGGTAACGTGAACAAATGTGATATATGGCAGCATTAGACTCTATTTCTGACCGCCTTCCAGGGTTGTGTTTCAGGGCAGGGAGCCTTTTCCCATGCAGCGTGTCCAGCCTCATCCTCAAACCTGGAGCTCCGCGTGGCGCTGGCTGAGCCGTGCGGGATGGACCAGCCCTGGCACCGCGTGGCCCCCGCACCAAAGCATCTCTGTTTKCAAACCACGGGCAATTCTAGCAGGTTAAAACAACTTCATTTAAAAGACCATGCTAAGGGTGTATTTTACAAATATTCTGTGCTTTAATGTTGAGTCACAGTTATGGGATCTGGGTTAATAGATTGCTCATAGCAGCTTCTGCTGATGTCACTTGGTACGTGCCACAAGCAGCTCCCAATCCTAGGAACCTAATGATGTTTTTTGTACCCTGCTGTAGCCTGTTAATATTACCTGCCAGGAAGCTAGAGCGTGTTGTTAGACTTGCCTGGAGGAGGACTTCAGGGAGGGCCTGTTTCTGTGTCTGCAGCTCGTCCCCAGGGTGCTGTAAAGCTCATCGAGCTCCTGCTTCGCGCTGCGCTTCCCAGCGGACGCTCCTGGGCTGGCATTGCCTTGAAATGACCTCTCCAYGCTCGTGCTGCAGTCATTATTTCTTGGTGGTAGGGGTTCTGCTTGAATGTCTGATTTTTGCCTAGTCACTCCTGGGCTGCAGAGAAAAATGAGGCGTTATTAATAGAGATCACCCWTGAGGGACTGGAATTAGACCTAGAGATCATGGCTAAAGGTCCTGGCAGYTTGGCTAGAGCTGTTTCTTGAGCTTGGAAGATCCTTGGCTACCTTCCAAATCAGGAATTAATTAGTCTTTAATATGTTAGTTTTGCCAGGAACATGAAGCTAAGTAGCTTGCATGTGCGTGGCCCTTTACCCTGCAGCTTGGTGCAGTTTTAACAAGCCCTAATGGTCAACTGCTGATGAGCTTTGGGATGATGAAGCTGGTCTCGGGTGACCTGAGGAGAAAAAACGATATGTTTAGTGCAGTGGTGGTTTTCCTGGGTTTTATATTTTTAAAGATGCTCAGATCCTGGACTGAACATACCAGGATATCAAGTTAACACTAAATCTCATCCCCAGAGCACCCCAGCAAAGCCTTTCAAAGCCATGGGGAGGGAGGAGGATGCTCAAATGAATGTGGCTCTCATGGACCCTCTTTGTCTTGAGGYAGAGAGATGAAGCCCAGTCTCTGGTTTTCCTTAAATACCAAAAATGCTGGTCTTCAGTGAGGGGGTGACTTGGAATTTAGGCCTGATGCCATCACCCTTGAGCATCTCTGGTTGATGGAGGAGGCAGCACCTCTGGAGGATGCCTCTTGGTGTGGGCAGTGCTAATGCCAGTCAGTAAAATCATCAATGTCCCCTTGCCACCGAACACTGGGAAGTTGTGACCCATCTGCATGGTTGGAGATGCACAATGCAGTGCTTTATTCCAGACTGTGGCCGTTCCCAAGGAAATGAGCTCCTTGCCTGCGGAGGTGCCTGCCTTGGCCGTGGGACCGGCATTCAGCCTTAAACCGGAGGCTCCAGCGCCAGCCGCCTCCCCAAGGCACCGTCTTCTGCAAGACGAGTGTCCCCTTGCTATAGGAGAGGGAAGGGGTTGTGCAAAACCCCTGTTAAACAACGTGTGCTTTGCCCAGCGTCTCRTGTGCAGCATCCCCGTGCAGCAGCTTGGGAAAGCTGCGACTGCAGAGCTCACAAAACGAGCCGTATTTCTGACAGTTTTCCCTCCCCAAACAGCTGGCAATATCTGTTCTACTTGATGACACTACATTTGCAGTCAGGTATTAACACTGGTTTCAGTCTCTGGAAATGCAGTTTTTCAGTAGATGGGTGTCTTGAAAACAGCAGTGCAAGAACAAGCAAGCTGCATTGATTTCCACCTTAAGCAATGGTTAAGCACTTCAGTCAGGGGGACTTTTWAAATCTGTATTCAGTTAACATTGCAAAGAAAAAAAAATAGCTAATACAGCTCTTCTATTTGTCCAGCCCTACTTTTGGCAACTAAGTGGTGTTTAAAGTGATTTGCAGCCCATGCTCAGGAAGAAGTTCTGTGGAGGGCATGAGCAATCTGAAGCAAATTTCTCACTTCAAAACATGAGACTTAGTCTATGATCAAATTAGATTTTTAGTTAAAGGAATTTGCAGTCATTAAGCGGTGCCCAAGAAAGAAGTAATTATAACCGTCTGCTTTATGGCTTCTGCTGAAAATTCTTCCTTGGGCTATGCATCCGAGTACTTCAGTGTCATTTTTATCAAAATAGTTTGAGTCTCCACTAATAACATGATTAAAACAGTGATTTTTACTTGCAAGCAGCACCTCAGACTTCATGGGAAAGGGTTCTACTCCCTTTTGTCAAGAGATTTCCAAATTAAGTGTTGCAGTGACACACTTGTGGCCACTCTTGCTGATAAAGCATGTTGTGGCTTATTCTGTCATTAACACTAGGGCTGTCTTATGTCCAGCATGCTGCAAAGAAGAAAAATCAGTTATTTTTATGTTACAGGAAAGAGGTATTATTGGCTGCAGCATCTGAAATGATGGCTATTTTGTGTGCTGTCAGGCTCCAATGTTTTTCCTGCAGGTTTTCCTCACTCCAAGTACATCTCCAGAGTAGGATGCTTTAGGGGACCTCAAGTATAGATGCTCTTATCAGTTAAGAGAACTGTTTCTTGCAACCTGAGCCTTTTCTCCTCATGTATTCCTATCAAGTCTTTCTTCTGAACCTTGCATCTGTTTTTCAGCTAGCTTAAATTCATCAGAGCTTATAATTTTAAGGGGAATAGAGTAAAAGAAAGGGAACTTTGAAGACCAGCCTTTGTTTTCCAGCATCTGTGCGCTTCTTTTCATGGAAACACCAAAAAGGTATTCAGTGCGAGGGAGCTGACACTTAAATATTTTATGGCGTGTGATTGTCTGTCTTTTGATCAATGTAATAGTTGTAATTACGTTTAGTGTTTCTAAGCCCTTGAACTGCAAAGGATTCAAACAGCTTGTTAGAGCGGGGGACTCCAGGGGAGCTTTAAAAGTCCTCCTCCCTTTTGCACATTTTACATGTACATGGGCTTAATGACAGCAGCTCTAGCTGCATTTTTTATCCTGTGCCCCACCTCTCAGACTAATATTTGAAAGGCTCGGAGAGGTCCCTGGAGTATAACTGTCTACATATCCCGGGGCTTTGCAGCATAAAGAGAATAAATGCTTTGAAGTCTGTGCTAATCCTGACTGCCATTTTCCGTATTTCTCTTGGCTGCTGATGTAGTGTCCTACAGGGGATAACTTATTTTTTTTCAGAAGAAATAGCCCCCGACTTCTTTTCAGTACCCCTCCATGAGCTTAGGTCCAGGGCTGCTGTTTGCATCCCACTTCAGTGAAGTGAGCTGTTTAAGCACAATATCCGCMGGTTGTGATGAGCAGAGGGCGAGTTGTCACCGCGGCTGAGCTGGGCTCAACCCAGAGGTGTCTGTGGCACTTTGGGGCCCGGGCCAGACCTGGTGCCCATCGGCTGCAGCTCCAGCACGGCCGGATGGATGCGACACTGCCCAACATACCCTGTGTGTAACAGCTCCTCTTTGAATAAAACATCACACTTGGAATTAATTAATACTGCCTAATGCTTTCAGGTTACAGGAGTTCACTGAGCAGGTGCTGCTGTTGCTTCCACAGGCTGATTTTTCTTTCTTCCTTTTGTTTGCTTTTATGTTGGTTCACTTCAAAGCTCCGTATTTTCTCCTGTGCGCTCCCGCGGCAGCTCTCGATATTTTCTATTAACCTGGGGCAGGACTTTCTATGCTACAGAGGGGGCCTGGGAATGTGTTTCGATAGATAGAGCTGTATATTTTACTTCCCTTTGTCTCAGCATCATCTGCAGGGATGTATTTTTTAAAAAAGTACAAATAAAACCCTGGTGTGCATCAAGGGGGCCAAAAAAGCGACTGTCTGGGGAGGCACCGAAGGGGAAGGAGTTTTCCAAGCTGGAAGCGGATTATGGAGTGAGGACTGTTCTGGTGCAGCTCAAATTGCAGCTGTTCCTTGGCCCAGGCTGGTTGCACAGCAGCTGCTGTCRGGCTGCAGGATGCAGTTTGAATAATGGAAATCACGTGCGCTTGCAATTAATTGATAAATAATTTTCCTGCTTGGAATGAGGTATTTCTCTTGAGTCTCGCTGTTAATATAAACATAGTATTGTCTGAAAATGCAATATCCTTTYTGACTTATTTAAAAAAAAACATTTCATAAAGTTTCTTTATTGGAGATGGGGATGATGCTGGGGAAGAAACGCTGCGAGATGGGGATGTGCAGGGGTTGGGATGAGCTGAGCAGCAGCAGCCTGTTTATTTTGACTGAAACTGCAGGCATTTGAGCAAGTCCCTGCTCAGCTGCTTCCTTCCCCTAACCCCAACTCCAAGTGTAATAGCCCTGGGCTCCCAGCTGCTCCCTCTTATTGATGTAAAAAATACTACTTTAAAGACAGACAGTGCGCACTAGCTTGTAACCTGCCACAGAGCGGTGAATCGTTACGGGTGATGTACTGATCTATTAAATATTTGTGGAAAAGCTGAAATCCCATCCTTGCAGTTTGTCCATGGTGATTGTGCAGGGCTTTGGGAATGCAGAGGCCGGGGCTTTGTTCGTGTTGCCTTCCAACAGTTCTGCTGTTCTTTAAAAAAAAATTCTCTTTTTTTTTACTTCCAGGACTCCAGAAGACTTGAAGTTGCAAGAAAAAAAGGTAGGAAAAAAAATGCGGTTTTCTTTCAATGTGTTTGCCCGTATTGAGTGTTTTTGCAGTAATTTGTGGAAACAAGCCTGAGTTTAGAGCCTTGCAAGGGTGTCCTGCAAAACCTGGCTGTTCTGGAAGAACAGCAGCGAGCCCAGCGCCGGGCAGTGGCTTTTCCCAAAGTGCTGCCGTGCTCCAGGTACCAGGGAGAGCATTTGCCATGTGCTGGGGCAGCCCTTGAAGTTGTGAGGCAGTTTTGGGGAGCTTGGGAGCAGCTGGAGGAAGAGGAGCATCCTGCAAGGAAACCACCACCATGGGATGGGGAAGGGGATGGTGTTGGGAGGAAGAGCAGAAGGAAAGGTGGGAATCCCGCTCCTTCCATGTGCAGCTGTGAGCTCTTGTCCTTGGCAACTGGGTGAGAAGCAGCTTTCCAAGAGCTTGTGCTGCTTATCATCAATTTTGATTTGGTTTGGCAGATGTTTTCTGGCTTGTGCAGCCCCTTGCCTGACCCGTTGGATGGGTGGCACTTTGCTGTTAAATGGGGTATTCCCGTTTTTTTTTCCGGATGCCTCTCGCATGGCTTTGGGCACACTGTATTTTGGAAGGATGCTGTAAATGCCCCTCATTCTGGTGCATATTGGGTCCAAGTACAGCTTGTCAATGGAGCAAATCTGCATTTTTTTGAAATTACTCCTGTTGCAGACAGATGTTGTAGGTAGGAGCTCTGCAGGCTGGGGAGGCTGAGGGGCAYGTGAGCAGCTGCAGGGAGAGCTGCTCAGCTCGTGTGTTTGGTCAGATTTCTGCTCATCCTCTTCTGAAAGGAGAAATCCAAAGGTAAGAGCGGTAGCRCACAAGCCTGTTTTGTTTGTTATCCCACATTCATGGATGAACTTGATTAAATGAAGAAAAAAAGTGGGAAGAGAAGGGGCAGTTCTGGCTCTCGCCTCTCAGAGCAGTTTTTTCCTTTTGAGTAAGAGCCTGAAGGCAGGTGCTCTTTTTCAAAGCAAACAGCCGTGATGCTTTGGGTCAGAGGGGCCAAATCCCACCTCGATTCCCTTCTGAATGCAAATGGAAAGGGCAGATATAGATGATCAAAGCTGCGTTGTTTAATGCACCTGCRTTGCTCTTTCCTAGCTGAGGATCTAGCCCAACCATTTAAAACTAACTTTTAATTTGTTTTTGTTGTGCACAATCGCTCGTTCAACAAATGAGTGTCAAAGGATGMTTTTCAAAGCGTTCAGGCACGAAATGATCAAGCTCACTGCTTCCACTCTGTTTGGCCAAATAATCTGATTAAATGAGATGTGGCTCCAGATTGATTCACAGGCTGACATCAAACTGCCATAAAGGCTTGAACTTTGACCACCTGTTTTGCATTAAAAGGTGGAAACTATTCATTGAAGTGCTGGAAGTTCTCTGTGAAAGTAGTGTTTGAATCTATTTATGAGAATGAATGTATGTATGAATTTAGGCATGAAGTTTCCCCCCTCTCCTCAGAGCTGTGGTGAGTTTATGCCTCACAGTGAGGATTAGCAGAGCAGGGCACGTGTTGAGCTTTTTGTAGGTTTTATTGAAAATCTAGGGGGTGCTTGAGCTGGCGATAGTGGAGCATAGTCTGCAGCTTAAGTAATATTTCATTACTTGCCACTTGACATCAATTCTTATGTCCTAGATGAAAAATTGACTCGTGCTTATAAAACTATAATGACCCTTAGAAATTCTGTTCACTCCTTCCTTCCCCCTCGCACATGTCAAATTTCCAGCTCTCGATGGAAGATGAAAGGCCCTCAAAACTTGGTGGGAATGGTGMGTTTCTGGCTTTAAACCCATCACAAATACAATGATCAGATGTAACTCTCTTGTAGGAAATTACCTAATTTCTTATCCCATATTTTTTCCCATTGCTAGAGTTCTCACAACTCGCTTTTCCCCCTGCCTGTGATCTAGTTGAAACCCACCCAAATCAGTGCCTCTGCCCATATGTCTCCTTAAAAACGTTAAGTTTGGCAAGCTGGAGAGCACCGAGCCTGCGGTTGCTCTCTGCACCCTTGGACATCTGTTGTCATGTGCAACTGAAGTTCGCAGGACAGATTACACGTTACAGATCCCTCCTCTGCAAGATCACAAGGAGCAGTAATTCCTTTCTCTGTTTATTACACCATTTCTTTAACAAATACTTTCTCAGCCTTTGCTAAAGCAAAGTTCGTGTGTGGCTCAGTCTCAGCAGATTTGTTTTCATAGGGTTTTTTATTATCTGGCTTCTTCGGGGCATGTGTTGTCAGTGAATTGCAATCTGTTGCCTGGAGAAGGATATTTGACTAGGTCAGAAACATAATCTAATGTTCACCTCTTGTTTTTCAAGTTTGAGGAACTGCAGTTCTTCAGCATTATTTGTATTCATTCCACTTGAATGTTRTTCTACAAGTACAAAATGCAGTGGTGGGTTTCTAGTTTTTCAATGTTGACTTGGGAATAGAAATAATGAAGATAAAGAACTTTTTAGGAACTGTCAGACATTTTCAGTTWGCATTTTTTAGAGTCAGGCTAATCCAAATGATGAGGGGATAAGGTTAATCATGTTCTTGCATATCTGTCCACAGTGACATTTAATTAAAAATTGCTGTATTTCTTGGTTTTAAGTGACATGAACTAACAGAGGGAGTAAAAGAGGGAAGGGAGGAGAACCCAGCATCATCCAACTCATTAGCTGAGATTAGGCCCAGTAGTGAATTAAAYAATAAAGCGGACGGTGGTGGATGACCTTCCTGTAGGTGTTTGCAGCGTGCACCCAGATCTGGACCCGAGGGGGAAGAGCTGCACACAGCGTGGGCCCTTGATCCCAGCTCATTTTCTAAAGCAGTGGTGATTCTAGCAGCAGTGTTTGGCTTCAGRTTGGCTGTGCTTTATCTTTGAGTCAGACCCAGTACTTCTGAAAAGGCAAATCCAGTCCTGGTTTAGCCCAGCTTTGCCAGTAACCGTAGGAGACCCAGCRTGAAAAGCATCCAGCTGCCTTAGAAAAACTGCATGCTGCTGGAATTAAAAAAAAGTTTTGCAGACTTAATGCAAATGTAAATGAATGCATCACTTTCTATAATACTTCAGGGTAGAAGGAAAGATTTGGTTCATGGTAAAATAGGCACAAATACTTAGCAAGTACATACAATATTTGAGCTTTGGCAGAGCATCAYGTTGATGGACCCAAAGGCGCTGAAACAAACTACGTGAGCAGCAAGGAGCCCAGCAGCTGCTGTCAGCAGCAGGTATTAGAGAAGCTTATAGACAAGTTCTATATATATATATACAAATATATGAGCATATAAATATATATGCACACGCCAGGCTTTGGCTCCCTGGATGAGCAGAAGAAGAATGAGGAGACAACAAGACGGAAAGCTAAGATACTTTGTGAGGATTTAGAAGGGAGTGGAAAAAAACACCTATATATATAGATAGATACTGTCATCCTTCATAAATACACAACCCCACTAGGAGTTTTGAGGCTGGATGTGTCTGAAGGCATCTGTTTTTCCATCTGAAACCCGGCTCAGCTGTGCTGCTTTGGCAGCTGAATAATCAGCTCGTGCTGCTGGCTCCGTCCCTGTCCTGACTTGTTGCCTCGTCGCGCTGGCTGTTGCACAGCACAGCCATGAGCTGCAGATTGAACAAGCGAGCGAACGTGTTCCTTGTCCCTGGGGCCGCCTCCGTGCATGGAGCTCCTCTTGCAGGGATGGACAAGGAGGCTCCTCAGGAACCCTCTGCTCAGGTGGGCTCTCGCATGGGTTGTTGGCTYTAGTGTTGACCAATGTACATGCCAGCAAGCCAACATCCTCAATGAGGCTTTGCAGAGCAGCCAGCAGTAGAGGTCACTGACCACACTTTGTGCAGGATTTTTAGGTCAAAAGCATGCAAAAAAGATACCACTTCTTTGTCCCTGCTCATATGTGAGTTGTCTCAGTAAGGCAACGTCTGAGGAATAAGGAGGAGTCTTCAAATATTTGTAAAATGGTCCTTATGGGAGAGCTGCTCGAGGGGCAAGACAAAACAGCTCCCTGCTGCAGGATCCGTCCTAAACTACAGTGATCAACACAACATAGGGATGGTAAAACTRGAGAAGAAATAATGATGTCAGTGATTAAAAGAGCATGATTTAGGGAAGGCAAAGCATGTGGCAARTGTTTAGTGGTTGTTGGAACTTTGCACCTCAAAGTAGAAGCAAAGAGGAGGAGAACCTTTTCCAGGCTTGGCAGCAAGTCTGCGAAGAAGAAAAATTGGGAGAAGGCTCTCTGGGAGATACCAGGAGCCAAAGCAATGCTTGGAATGTGCTGCAGGGCAGCAGCAGAAGGCGGCAGGTTTCTGGAGGCAGGAGATTTCTGGAAGGCAGAAAATGGATCTGCGCCGGCAYGGACCATGGGTGTGCAACGAGACGCTGCTGCTGGGGATGGCTGAGGCCAGTGGAGCTGGGAGTTGGCTGCATCCGTTTCAAAGGGGGTTGTGCTTAAAAGCTGCTCCGCTTTGATGGTCAGGGTGGGCCGAGAGCCTTGCTCCTACAGCCTGGGCTTGGCCGTGTGCTTGCCAAACATGGAATTTCCAGAGCAGCAGTAAAACCACCTGCTTTGCAAGGGTTAATTGATAACCCAGCAACAGCTGCTTTTGATAATGCCAGTGGTGAGTATGCAGACGTTGCAGCAAGCCAGATTATCTGGCATGGTCCTCAATTTGGCCGCGGAAATAACTCCTCAGGCTTCAAGCCGTGGGAGCTTAGGGGCCCCCTGGGCTTTTGGGTCATGATTTTTAAATGCCCTGCTAGTCAATTCAATATAAGGGTGCATGGTATATTTTTCATTAGGCATTTGTGTTAGGGTTCAGCATGCTGTTTCCTCCTCAGCTGAACCATAGGGCAGAGTGATTAGGTTAATATTCCTGAGCTTCAACTCATTGCCTGAATAAGAGGGAAAATAAGGCAGAAACRATCCACTTTTTGTGCCTTCCTAGTGGATTGCTTATAACCAGTT